AACTAAAACAATTACACGGTAATTACGGAGTTACAAAGCTGCATTTAGAGTGTGTTTATTCTGCAGTTTAAAACAAAATTGAATTAAATTTTTATTTTGTGAATATGTTTAAATAAACATAAAAAATAATGATCAGTTAGTATGAAATATTATAGTTGTAAAATATATTATTTACAAAATATGTTATAGTTGTAAAATGTGTATTTTTCATATAGTTTTAAAAACTTTTTCAATGTTCAATATTTGTGACGTGGCATTAGTTTATATTTGAGTTTATTCATTATGTTAATTATATTAATTAAATAATTTTTAGTAAAATAAGACGTAGAAATGAAAAAAACTGAAATCATTCATGTAAAAAGTGTCATTTAAAATATTCTTATTAGTGATTTGATTTTTACGTTTTAGTGTTTTATTTAAGTTTATTGTCATATAAACATGGAGATCAGATTTATTGAAAATATATTTAGAATTGAAATTAAAATAGATTTAAAATGTTTTATGTGTTTAATTTAGATATCTTTATGTATTGCTGTTTTAAGTGTAGTTTAAATAATGATAGCATTTCTAAACTGTATAAAAACGTGTTTAAAATGTATTTTACTTATTATCATTTTATGTATTTAATTTTTAAAGTAGGAAATATCGTATAGCCTACGTGCTCTTATTCCAAAAACAAAACAATCCTTACTTTAGATTTATTCCATCATTCTTTTACGTTATATTCATTTTAGGTAGCTTAAAAAAATCATTCCACTCAATCTTCCAAAACAAAAAATATTTGTACATTTTATTTAATTTTAATCTTTAATTACGAAGCACAAAGTGAAAGCGCTGTGTAACGGAAGATTAAAGTCTTACAAAACTTGCCCTTAACATTAATAACATTATAACAATTATTAATTATTATTATTATTATCATCATCATCACTATTATTACTAATAATTAAAGAAAACACAACGTTAAAATCTTACCAAGCATCTTGCTGAGCTCCGCATTGTGGAGGTCTGGGTTCTGCACTGCGAGTCTCTTGCGCTCATCTTTGGCCCACACCATGAAGGCGTTCATGGGTCTCCTGATGCGCGGCTCCGACACCTTGTCCGCGGGAGCTCTGTGAGAGGTGTGTCCGTCAGGTACGTCCGCGTTTCCCGCAGAGCACTCAAAGCTCTCCGGCCAGGACGAATACGCACTTATCAGAGCCGCCATGTGCGCTGTCAAAACTTAGGCTTCCTTTTGACTCAAACTTTGTTTCTCGGGCGCAGAGGCGACCTATAGTTTTTCTTTCGGTTCTGAATGAAAAGTAATGTCAAAAGCGCAATAATAAAAGATGGGTTTGAGTGAGCAGCTGGTGGTTGAAGAGCTCAGTGAGAGAGATGAGAGTGTGGTGCTCGACTCTCCCTCTGTGATTCACTGTTTCCTCCGGCATTGGGAAGCGCTTTATATGTGAGGAGCAGCTTCCAGCACAGGCCCACGGGAGGATTTCAGCTCCTCCTTGACTGCAACCTGAGACCAACGACAGAAGAAAAGAAAAAAACAGAGGTGACAAAAATATTTCAACAGCTTTACTACTAAATCACGTCATTATGGCTGTTGGTTGGGTTTGTTTTCGTGACGCGTTATTTAGGTGACGGGTAAAGCTTTTGACTGTTATCAGTCAATTCACAGGTTTTTTTTTTTACTGAACAACCGATAGAAATTGTGCAATAATTTAAATGCTTTTTAAAAATACTATGTATTTTTCTGGTTTAGGCCTATACATTTTACAGAATAAAGCTCTTGGCTCTTCAGTTCAGCACTTTCTCTTCTAAGAACAAATGTGACCCTGGATCACAAAACCAAAGAAGTATTTTTATGACATTTTTACACCACCTAAAAGCTGAATAAATAAACACTGTACGTATTGTTTAGTGGATTACAACAATATTTGACAGAGATGCAACTATTTGAACATCTGGAGGAGCTCAGAAAAAGTTGAACAAATGACATTTTTAGCAATTCATAATAAAAGAAAACACACACTGTAAACGATTTCTGTTGTTTTCACAGTATTATACTGCATTTCTCAACAGTTTTTTACTGTATAAGCTGTGCACAGTGTGTTACTGTATATATTGTTGTTTTCACAGTAAAATAATGTATTTTCAACTTTTCTATACTGTGAACATGGTTAACAGTATGTTACTGTAGATTGTATAATGAATTTTGGAGAAAAATCCGTTACTGTGCATCTAAATACAGTACTGCAAATGACCAAGAACAACTGCACACACACTATATATTATGATTATTATGTTTATTTATTTTTAGACAAATTATTTTGTGAAGTAAATAACCTAACCAGTTTCTTCAGACTGTTCAGTGCATTAAACTGTCCCCTGGTTTTCCATTTTTGGGTGCACTTTATAAGGCAACATGGAAATATTAAATAATATTTAATAAACATAACTTTGTGCTAAACCAAAACGTAAATTGGAACAAAAATAAATTGATTCACGTAACCAAAGACTGTTAAACACACAAAATGATTTCAAAGTCAGCTTAAATGTCAGAGTGACCAACCTGCTTTAGACGGATTCAAGAATATTGGGCGCCCATATTGGCCACCGTAGAGGTCACATATCTCCGCATTTTCAAAACAACATTTTAAAATACGCACTATCTTAATAAATAAACCACAGAATTGAGTTTAAAACAACTACATTCTCGCATGAAAAACGGTTAAAACTTTATTTCATAACACATTTATTATCTAGTCATCGAAGACAGGGCATGTCTCAGTAATGTCTAGGCCGATTAAAGCATGAGGTTTGCCGGATACATGAGTGATGGAGCGCCGTCAACCCCTGGAGGTCAGAATCTCCCCTATCGGCAAAGCACACTTAAAATTAGACATGATATCTAAAAACAAACCACAGATTTGAGTTTGGAAGAACTACATTCTCGCATGAAAAACTGTTAAAACTTCATTTCGTGACATATTAAACGCAATATTTATGATATGATCTGGCTTTTCTCATCCGCCATTATATTTGCTTGTTGGTGTGAAATGAACTCAGGGAGAAAAAAATATTAATTCTCAAAACACTTCAAGCGAACCTTATTCTTATTGTTAAAGTCAGATATATGTAATATTTTCGCTGGTAAAGTGAGAAGAAAAAAACAATATTACTATTTTATCAATATCACGTTTGCACTGGTTCGGTTCAGCACACAAACGACACCGAATCGGATTGAACCGTTTGCTCGGGAATTATTTTAACACACGTGTTCACAAGCACATTCGGCAATATGTGTATAAATGTGTGTGGCCGAGCAGTATAACGAAATAGTAATGGTTCATTGTTGTGTCTTACAATAATATACAAAAAGGAATCGGTTTTAGGCGGATTCGACTCTTTACTGTTCTAAGGAGCCGATTCATAAAGCCGAGCCGACTCGATTCGACCTTCACCAGGCAAGCAACGGCTCTTCTAATTTGAAATCCACCTGTCGCCTTTTCTTCCAGTGAATTCATCCTCGGTAAGTGTTTAAAAGTCAAATTCTGTTCGTTAAAGGATTGTTTTGTGTATATTTCCGTGTAGTGTGTGTGTGTAATTTAAAATAATTAACCAAGTTACTTTAGTTGTACTGTAAGTTAGGTACTTATGTCACGTTATTCGACGCCAGACCGTGTTTGTAGTGTTTGCAAGGTATTAGATAAGGTAATTACAGTGAGTTTATCTTGAGTGAGTTTTTGACCATAGTAACGTTAAGTTACCTGAAAAAAAACGTAACTTTTACTTTGGGTTAACTGCATTAATGAATTCTCTATTTCAGCACAACACTGAGATGAAGGCAAAGTCACCATGAAAAGTTAAACGTCTAACGTTAAGGTAAGCTCTGGTCTTCATGTGGTCATTATGACCAAGTTATCATTATGGTTAAATTTGTAAACTGTAAGTTAGTTATTCAAACTAAACTCACAATGAAACAAGTCTAACTGTTTTATTAAATTGAGCTGATAATAAAATTCAGTTGATGTCTTTTAAGCTAACGTTAATATTAACATAATACATATTAATTGTCTATTTCTCACTGGTTAATGAGCTTATTGTATAACGTTATTGTGTCATTAATTGTACATTTTATTTTTGGTGTTCAGGTGTAGGGAATGATTTGTATACAAATTTATTTGAACCCCATACAGATTTGTATGGTTGTACCATAGATTTAGATTATTAAATGTTAAGTCTTATTTTACTCTTATTATATTTATCTTTTTTGCAACTACAGCAATTGATGCTGAAAAACTGATGCTACCAATCTCTCCTCACTTGATTATTCAAGGTAATGTTGATGTCTTCCTCATTTTGATTAGATTTTGAAATGTCAAGTTGTTCACAGATTTGTTGTGAGGAGTTTCATGTACAACCTCTTTTTCTTCTTCTTCCAGTAGCGACGCAGTGGCACAGTAGGTAGTGCTGTCACCTCACAGCAAGAAGGTTGCTGGTTCGAGCCTCGGCTGGTTCAGTTGGCTGAATACAATGGCATAATGATTCTGCTTGCTCACAGGAGGTACTTGATTTAGTTTTCCTCAAGCGATACATCAGTTTTTATGAGTAATGCGTGACACTTGAATTGAAGGGACAGTTCACCCAAAAATGAAAATATTGGCATCTTTGGCATCCTCCACTTGTTTCAAAATAGTTAGATTTTTTTTTTGTTCCATTGAACACAAACTTATATTTTTTTTTAAAGAAATTTTGTTCAAATATGGATGTCAATAGTTTCTGGTTTCTAACATTCTTCAAAATATCTGCTTTAGTGTTCAACAGAAATTTAAATGGATTTAAAACACATGTAGTAATGGTGGCAGAAAAGTAAACTATCCTTTTAAATATTTTATTCTGAGACTTATTTAAATGTGTCTTGTCTTTTGCCATATTGTCTTTCTAGCTCAGATTGTGAAGGACCTGGAATGTGACACCAGTTACTCTTAAGTCAAGAACCAAATAAAGCACAGATGTGGAGGGATCTGCAACTAAACTAACTGGAGGAAAGGAACCTTTAGGTAAAAACACCTGCTTTATTTAGATCTGAAGTATTTTATTTGGCATAGAGTATTATTTTTTTTTATTCTTATTCTAATTTTATGTTATGTATATACTGAATATAAGTCATTTAAATTTCACAAATGATTGAATATAAAATATCATCTAGATGTCTTATTTTTTATTGTCTTAAACATTGGTGCTCAACCCTGTTCCTGGAGATCGACCTTTCTGCAGAGTTTAGCTCCAACCCTGATCAAACGCAACTAAACAAACTAAATAGTATCTGAAGGAGCACTTGGTAAATAAAGACAGGTGTTCTTGATCAAGGTTGCAGGTAAGCTCTGCGGAAAGGTAGATCTCCAGGAACAGGGTTGAGCACCCCTGATCTAAATGCTCAAAAATGCTGTTTCAGAGGTGAGGTTGGATGTAGTTCAGAAATAGATTCATTAGGATCAATGCTTAAAGTAAATGTTTACTTCTCTCTGTTGACCAAACATGCTTAGTATCCCACACATTTTAATGAATTATTTATTTTGGTTACTTTTACATCTATATATGGGTAAGCAAGTATTTAATAAATAAAATAAGTTTAAACCACTTAACCAAATGACTCTATTACCCTAGCTTCTGGGAAAAAAACATGTAAAATAACAGATTTTTTTTTTTTACAGTGTGGGTGAACATACTACCTTGATGTCCAACAAAGACTGCACAAAAGCTCATTTGATGGCACATATTCTGTCCTGTCTACATCTCTGACGAAGTGCTTCGACATCAGTGAGTAATAAATCTTCATATTATCATGCATTCAGGATTTCTGTAAGCCTATCTTTAATGTTAGTTTGTAATCAGCAGTGACTGTTTTAAAATTTGGTATTTAAATTATTCTTAACGTTTTACTGATGCTGTGCACAGTAACGTTATGATGATTTAATTTGAGGAAATGTCACTGGAGAGGTGTAATAATATTTATTTGTCTCACTGACATGCCATCACTGCATATTGAAATACAGTAATACGAATTGACCGCAAAATATTATCACAAACATTTCATGAAAAAGACTGCTTGACTACTCTTCATTTCTTTGCTCAACTTTAACACATTTGATCGTGTTGCTGTGCCTTTCGGCAGATTTTGCCAAAAATGAATGCTTAGTGATTACTTTGTTTTATGCGAACCAAATGTCAGTAACTTATCATTAGCATTATTATTTTTTAAATCACCCATGGCTTTCATGTTCTCTAACGTAATCTTGTCTGTAAGTTAGAAGTAGATTTTCACATGTTAAAAGCCTAAAAGTACTTCATTAACATTAGTCACGTTAAATTAATTATTTTATTTATTTATTTTTAATATGTAGCCTCTTAAGGTCAGAATGAACTGTGTTCACCCCTCTTAAATTCGTGGAAGCGCTAGTGTGGTCATGGAATCAGATATTCATGCTATACAGAGTCAGACATTAAGTTAAGATGAGACTTTATTTTTTACATACCTGTGTGGACACTTGACTAGTGTTGACTTGACTGATCTTTTCCCCATTAACGTTAGTGTAATTGTAAATAGACAACAATCTGTATTTTGCCAACAAAAACGATAAAAAACAGTGTTTTATATATATAAAACAGCAGTGCGGTGTTTGGTTTCTGAATGAATGAAATAATTTGAGGCATGATTAGTTTTTACTCCAGTGATTGATTTGCTTGTCGTTTTTGCAGGATCATCAGAAGTGCTCCTGCCCTTTTTCACTGTCCCTTTTCCACAACATCATTTGGCCTTTATCATTTCGTGTCTTGTAGCAATATTTTCATCTGTTTTTAAAATTGTAATACTTTTTGATGCATTAATTGTTGACTGGTTTTACTGATCAATTTTTCATTAGTGTTCTGTTGCTGTGTTATATTGAATAATTGCTACTGTTTCAGTAGGGTTTACACAATAAACTTTTATTGTGAAGTTAAAGTTTCAGTTTCTTTATTTTTCTTGTATTTCTTGAACAGTTAAAATAACAATTGTGCAATTTTTGAACCTTTTTTGCTTATTATAAAGTAGCACTGTTAAATACAATAAAATAACATTTAATAACTGTAAAATACTATACAGTAATAATGAAAGTAACGTTAAAATACCGTAGTTCTGCATGGTAAAAATGTACAGTAAAATACTGTTTTCAGTTTTGCAGTATGTGTATCACTACTGTAATTGGTGTTACAGTATAAAAAGAAAACAGTAAAATGATGTATTACATTTTACAGTAATTCTAATACTAAAGTAATTAGTAATACAGTAATGCTACTGTTTTATGAAATACAGCAGCTACTGGATAATTGTTGCCAGTAACTTACTGTTAATTTAACAAGAAATCGTTTACAGTGCATTTATATATTTACAGTAGAAAATTTACAAAAGGCATAAGATCATTCCTTAATATTGTAATGATTTTTGGCGTTAAATTAATATTTCTAATTTTGATCCTTCAATTCATTGGCTTTTCTCACAAATATACCAGTCCAACATATGACTGTTGCGCTGCAGGGTCAAACATTTTCTCCAAAACGAGTTCTTGTGTTGGTAATTTTGGGAATAAAATGAGTTCAAAATGTCACATTAGAACAAATAAGACATTAGTTGTAACATCTCAGATCTGTGTTTTGGGGTTCTGGATTTCTTTGATCCCTAATAGCCTACATCCTTAATACTTTACTTTTTCTTTAAAATAAAGACCAAAACATGTTTTCTTTTTCTTTTTTTTTCTTTTTTTGCAGTGATGCCACAAAAGAGTTTGTGTGTTTGTTTTGTTTCTTTAGAGAACTTTTTTTTTAATTCTTAGTGTAAAAAATATAAAGGCATTTTGTATTGTACAAAGCATTTGTGCATTGAAAAGGCTTCAAGTTTCTTACTGAATTCAATGATTGTAGTAAAGACCATAACAAATAAATATTTTTAAAAGTGAATCTCATAAAATAACCTCAAAAACTTTGAAAAAACACATTTGTTAAAATAACTTAAGAATGTTTTTGTTTTTAATGAAGAGCTTGTTTTCAATTTAAATAGCTTTATGTGTGTAAGGAATGGATTTAGTCAATTCATGTCTTCGTGGAACCACTGATCCCAAACAGTTTTCACTCAGAAATAGCTTTATAATAATAATATTTTTTTTCACACTAAGAATTTTTTGACTGCAAAGTTCTTTAGGGAAACAAAACAAACACACAAACTCTTCTGTGGCATCACTGCAAAAAGAAACATGTTTTAATCTTTATTTTAAAGACAAAGTAAAGTATTAAGGATGTAGGCTATTACTGATCAAAGAAATCCAGAACACAGATCTGAGATGTTACATCTAATGTCATATCTGATCTAATGTTACATTTTGAACTTATTTTATTGCCAAAATGACCAACACAAGAACTCGTTTAGGACAACGCTTTTGACCCAGCAGCGTAACACCAGTCTTATGATGGACTGGTATATTTGTGGGAAAGGCCAATAATTTAAAGGAGTCAAAAATATAAAAATTTATTTTATGCCAAAAATCATTAAAGTATTAAGAAAATATCTTATTTTATTCGCAAAGTGACCAACACAAGAACTCGTTTTGGAGGAAATATTTAACCCCTGCTGCACAAAACCAGAATAATCACAAAGAAATTACAAGTAGCATACTAAATCCAAAGTAGAAAGTTAAGTATTTCTTTCTTGTAAAACATTGCTTTGCAATCTTTATTTGATTTACAGAATAAAAAAAATCATTTAACAGTGTATGCATCGAAAAATAACCGTTTTGGTTTAATTTGAAACATTTATGTGGACAATAAACTGATTAATCAAAACACGATACAAATAACCTCTCCATCCTTAAATAAATTGAAAATAGGAATCCAATTCAAAATCACTAGACACAAAAAGTATATAAGTAACTGAAGTCTATGTTTTATTGTGTACAGTCCCCTCTTAAGATTGCTTTTAGACACATCACACACACACACAAACACACACACACACATACTGCAATCAGAAGCCAGGACCAGGATTATCCATTTATGAATTTTGATTTAAAATTTGGAAGCCTGCAATAAATGCTGATGCCAGGGGTGAGTGGGAGTGGGGTTAGCTGGCATACGAGTATACAGTTCATTCATATTGTGGTAGTTGGCACAGTTGCACAACATCAATTTATTTATTTATTTTTCACATTCTGTCCTATCACAAATGTTTTAACCAACAAGAGATAAATAATGTGTATCTTAAGCACTCTAGACACATTGAGCATCGAAAAAAAAGTCTGCTAAAGGTTTCAAAACTGCTGTTGTTGAAGCAATGAAGATTCACTACAATTGTCTAGCGCTCTAAATATAGAACAGTGTTGAAATGTTGCTATAAATGGCTTGCTAGTTGCTAAAACTTGTTTTGATGCGTCCGTCTGTAAACCTTCATGAAGTCGTTTCATCAGAGACCATGACGTCTTTTACGTCATTTTTCATTTTTGCTAGAGGAAACTGTAACTAAACTTAACCCAAGCATGACACAGACCAGTTTTCCCCTTTCAGAATTTACCTCACTTACTCATCAAAACCGGTCGTTCAGCACCGTGATTCACATCTCAGATCATCCAGATCCTCCCGTATGCTTCAGGTGCTCTGCGCTCACACTTTCCACACGTTTACGTCCTCTACTGAAACTCAGACGCCGAGATTCCTGTTGACAACTGATGAAAGCTGAAGGAAAGACGTGAAGGGTTCAGAATTAACAATAAGCTTTACACAAAATCCATTCTTTAATAACTGTTGTGAATGAATGTTAGAAGTACCGCTGACTGACCCTTGAGGTGCCTCTTTGGTACACGACAGGTTTCCAGCAGTGAACAAGCAGAGGATGAGCATCATTAAAATGTGGGCTTTATTCCTCCAGGAACAGGAAGAGGAGCTTGATGCCCCAGATTGCAAAAAAACATTCCGACAAAAAATGACAGTCCACTTCCTGCTCTCCTGGTCCTACCTGCACATTATTTTTGGGTGTGAAGTGCCGAAAGCGAGATAAACATCTTTGTGGTTCTGCATTCGGAGGCACTTCTTCCTATTTCGTCTGATTAGCATAGGGGAAATGCAGGCGTGCGAGTGGTTTTGTGAGCGCTGTGTGAATTAAACAGCAATATAATGTAATGCTAAAAGTTTACAGGTGAATGTTGGTGTTATTGGGATCTATGATTTGCATTGAGACCTCAAGTTTTGCCACAATATCAAACAAATAAAAGACGTGTTTTTCAGTTTCAGTAATGCACATTTGATAAGGGATATGACTATGTGTTTTATTTTATGTGAAAGCAAATGTATCTGTAGTGACCAGAAAGGAGAAGCATTTTTTGCAAAAAAAAAAAAAAAATCCAAAATACTAATTCATTGTAATTTTATTATTTATACCTTTTACTGTCTTTCTAAGATTGTAAATGTGCAATCATTTAAAGCACAAATATATACATATATATATATATATTTAGCATGATCTATATTTTGTTCCGTATTTCACCCATATTTTAACATTTATTTTCAAGCTTGACTAGAAATATACAATAAGCTTTCTAGGAATACTACAAATAAAAACCAGGATTTTTATGGAGCCAGATCAGTCTCAAAAATAATACATTTACAAAATAAAATTAATGCACAACTCAAAATTTACAAAATCCAAATTGTAAATGCAAAACACAACTCATAAATACAACACACAATTCGCAATTCATAAATATCGTAAAAATAAATATTTTCGCTAAATGAATTGGATTTATGTATTTACGAATCGTGTTTTGAAATTACAAACGGGATTTGTGTTGTCACACTTTCACTCTTCTAAAAAAAATGCTGTGGTTCGCAGAAGTTATCAAAACAAACACTTATTTATTTACAAAACACTCACGAATCGTGTTTTTAACTTATGTATTGTATTTGTGTATTTAATAATCGTGCTTTGAAATTACGAATTGGATTTGTGTTGTTATGCTTACACTAAAGAGATGCACTGGATGACAGAAGTTATCAAAACATACATGCATTTATTTACAATACACTCAAGAATTGTGGTTTGAACTTATGAATTGGATCTGTGTATTTATGAATCGTGTTTTAAACTTATGAATTGTTCTTGTGTATTTAACAATCATGTTTTGAAATTACCAGTTGTATTTGTGTATTTAATATTCCTTCATTCATTCATTTTCTTTTTGACTTAGTTCCTTTATTAATCTGGGGTCCCCACAGCAGAATGAACCGCCAACTTATTCAGCATATGTTTTATGCAGGGAATGCCCTTCCAGCTGCAATCCATCTCTGGGTAACATCCATACACACTCTTTCACACTCACCCACTACGGACAATTTGGCCAACCCAATTCACCTTTACCGCATGTCTTTGGACTGTGGGGGAAACCGGAGCACACGGAGGAAACCCACGCAAACGCAGGGAGAACATGCAAACTCCACACAGAAATGCCAACTGACCCAGACAAGGCTCGAACCAACGACCTTATTGCTGTGAGGCAAAAGCACTACCTACTGCGCCACCGCGTCACCTATTTAATAGTCGTTTTTTGAAATTACGAACTGAATTTGTGTATTTATAAATCGTGTTTTGAAATTACGAATTGGATTTGTGTTGTCACGCGTTCACTTATCTAGAGACACACTGGATCGCAGGAGTTATCAAGACACACACATTTTCAGGGGCGGACTGGCAATAGGGAGCACCGGGACATTTCCTGGTGGCCTGATGGTCAATCTGGCCTGCTGCCGTGACCCCCATACCCCCCCCCCCCCAACCCCAACTCTTTACTTACTGATCGCAAATTAAAAAAAATAGTGTATTTATGGATCGTGTTTTGAACTTACGAATTGGATTCGTTTATTTATGGATCATGTTTTGAGTTTACGA